ACACACACACACACACACACACACACACACACACAAATTCGGTCAATGCTCAAAGCTATTTTAATCAGAAAAATTTTTCCATAGAGGAGATGCTCCCTCTAGCCCTAACTAGTTAGCAGAGTTTAAAATACCTATCTTTATTACCTTTTAAATTGGCCACTTCCAAATTTCATTATACAAAAATGTATTTTAAGTGACTAATGGTTTTAATTTCTCATGTAAGTCAAAGTCAAAAGACCCGAGATAAAATGGTAGAAGTTGAGAAATAGATCAAATTACTTAACAAAGAACCCTTATCTTTTCCAATTTTGTAAAATAGCCAAAAAAATTCAATTCTTACTTTCATTTTCCTTCAGTAAAGCATCATTATCTTCCTCATCTTCATCTTCACCTGTTTTTATTTCTTCAGAAGGAGGCTATAGTAAATGAGAAACAATGTTTAAAAGAACACTAGTTTCTGAAGATAACAGATAGCTCTGTTTAGATATGGAATTATACGGTTATAGATTTCCAGTAATGGACATCAGACCCCGTGACTCATAGGTACTCTCATTTTGGACAGAAGGAAGACTGAGAAGCATGAACAAGCCAGTTTGCAAATACATAGGCCTTAGTATTGTCTAAGGGGCAATAGAGATTGACCATGTCTATTATTACCACACTGTAAGAAAACACTGGAAAGTTCTGCCAGAAATCCTACTGCCACCCCTAGACCCTGCCCTATGACAAAAGACAGTAAAATACACCGGCAAAGAAGAAAAACTGGTTTAGTTTACCACAGATAGGTTTTTTTAAACTGCATGCTGCAGTTTAAGTGAACACTGAGCAACAATCCTCCCCATTCTAAAACATGGTGCTCCATAGATCACTATTTTTGTGATAAATTAAACTGGTAGCATTTTTAAAGCAGATAATGTTTACTAAAGGAAATGGGAAAAGCTGAAGTATGTTACTTACTGGTAGTTCTTTGGCTAGCTTTATTACCATATTCTCAAGGTACTCTGGGAGACTCTTAAACTGCTGGTTGGTTGGCTGGAAGAAGTGAGGGCTTCTCCGTGCTAAGAGTCTGAGTGCTCTCCACCCATAATTTGAATTGTTCACAGCTCTGTAAGAAGAGTTGTCAGGCTTGTGACTTATAGTTATCCACTTCCAAAGTTCTTTCCATGTGACATGACATTCTGTACATTATTACAAATAAGAGCCCACATTACCATCTTTATTTTCGAAGTCTATACATTTTGTTTATTTTAGCAAGTTAATGATCTATGTCCCTACTCCTGACTATGACACTATGCATAGAAACCATTCATCTGGTTATATAGAAGAAACAGATAGGAAAAAAGATATTTGGTGAGCTGGTATCCCTATCTGTAATGTACCTAACAGTTCATTAACAGTTCACTAACAGAATATTAACAGTATTCTATAAATTCAAGTTTATTATGTTAAGGTAACTAATACAAGTTGAAGGCCTCTAATGTAAAACCTGCACTGTCTGACTTGTCTTAAAATGCTTGCCTGCTGCTAAGGTCTAAAATGTTCCAAATATGGGAAAAAATCAGAAAACACAGCTTCAAGTATTTTGAATAAGGGTTGTATTTATATAACAGCTAATCTTTAGTTCACTTAATATCAACCTCAATGAATAAAAATGGCTCAAATGCCAAAAGAGCAAATACCCAGTATCCACAGTAGTGACACACTGATGTCAAGAAAATAAAAAGAAAGCAAGGACCAAGGACCCGTGAGAAATCTTAAAGACAGACACACCCAAAAGGACAAAACAGATTCTGTGTAGGGTTTGTTAGAATTTTTGTTCACCCTGCAGTCCCGAAATGCACAGCTCTGCAATCTGGTTCATTTAGTGCTCTCTTATCAACTGTGGGATATACACACTCAATTCAAGCATGAGAAAGATTTTAGCACAAGGTCAGACTGGTGCATATTTTACTTTATTTTACTGATAGTATCTTACTCTGTTAAGACAGACTAACCTCAAACTCAATCCTGCTTCAGCCTCCCGAGTGCTGGGATTAGGTATGTGCTACCATGCCTGTGCGTGCGTGTGTGCATTTAGTTTTTAGACAGGGTCTTTGTAGACCAGGCTGGCCTCAATCTCACAGAATCCAATGCTTTTGTCTTGCGGGTGCTGGGTGTATGGATGTTTTGCCTGCATGATTGTCTGTGTATCATATGCATGCAGTTCCAGAGACAGCCAGAAGATGTCATGTCAAATCCTCTGGAACTGGAGTTAAAGATGGTTGTTAGCCACCATGTGGGTACTGGGACTCAAACCCGGGTCCTCAGGAAGAGCACTTAGTGCTCTTAAACCTCTGAGTCATTTTTCCAGCCTATATATGTATATTTTAAAGATCACTCTCTGGTGCATGGAGAATAGATCACACACATTAGTTAGGAGATTGGAACATAGGGCCAAAACTAGCCATTTAGATCATGTGCTAACGACATGGCTCAAAATGAACCATTTAATCTTTAGAATTAGCCTGTGAAATGAGTGGTTACTACTTAGCAAATGAGAAAAGGGACACAGGGAGTATTTGTTAGAACTAGACACCTGGCCACTAAGTGGCACAGGGGATGGGAACCTATACATTCTGACAAGAGGGGCCTTGCCTTTAAGTCACAACTTCAAAACAC